ATGATGATGATGATGATTCTTTGCTGCTGTTACTGCTGCTGAGAATTTATATCTCAGTACTTATTTGTTTAGTACTTATTTAATTTAGTACTCTCTCTCTCTGTCTCTGTCTCTCGCTCTCTCGCTCTCTCGCTCTCTCTCTCTTGCTCTCTCGCTCTCGTGCTGCTCGACGTTCCTCACGTGTTCTCACTAAGCGACACGTGGACAAACCTGAACACTCAGAACGTTCCCCCGTTCACTGATCAGTGATGCTCTGCATGCCGATGCCGTCTCACTGAGACACGAGTGGAGGAAAGAACGCTGGCTGGTCAGTTACTGCTGGTCCATGTGTGGTTCAGATCAACGGGTGCGGGACTGGTTTCCATAACAACAGAGAACCATAGAGGAAGTTCAGCACTCCAGCTGAACACGCTGTAACATCTCTGACACGGAGCAGAGAAACTTTCACTGAACACACGATAAACGGACGAAAATGGAAGGAAACAAAGAGGAAAGTGACCGACTTGGTCAGTAAAGTAAACATGATCAATAATAAGAATCGCGATCATGATTACAGTTTATGCCGCAGGAGCAACAACGACGACCACAGCTTTAATATGCTGGTGATTTCTGCCATTTACGCCTTGCTAGATAATCAATCACAGTCACTGTATGTATTAATATTAGCTTGTACGCTGAGCTCGGCTACGTCACTCTTGCACAGGCCGCGTCTTCAAATACTCAGAATGAAAATGATCAGTACTGAATGATCAGTACTAAATGATCAATACTGAATGATCAGTACTGAGTGATCAATACTGAATAATCAGTACTGAGTGATCGATACTGAATGATCAGTACTAAATGATGAGTACTAAATGTTCAATACTGAATGATCAATACTGAATGATCAATACTGAATGATCAGGACTGAATGATCAATACTGAATGATCAGTACTGACTGATCAGTACTGACTGATCAATACTGAATGATCAGTACTGACTGATCAATACTGAATGATCAGTACTGAACAAAAGCAGAACTGAGCAGTTTTCAGTCTTTGCTCTGAAGGATTAAATGTATGATTTATTGTGATAGAATATTATTTAATGGGTTAAGCAAATATATATATATATAAATTTAACATATTTTAACATAAGTTTTTTATTCTATATGAAATGTGTGCTGCATAAAGAACTTTTTTATTAATATTCCACTTTAGACATTTTAAAATATCTATTACTGTGGACTAAACATTACCCCGACCCCATACCGTCCACCAAAATCAAAGATCCCACCACCCAAAAGCCCCTCAGCCCGGCCCACTGAAACCTCTCTCTGTCAAAAATGTAAAAGTTGTCAGACCTGCACACTTTAGCTAATAATAATAATAATAATAATAATAATAATAATACTCAGCCCTCCGTCTCTCACACCCTGCTCTCTTTAAAGGTTGTTACAGATCAGCAGCTGCTGTTCAGGTTCAGTTTAACTGCCTGTTTGAACCTGTTTGTTTTGTAACGACTGACAGAAGCTTCGTCAGAAACGAGTCTGAACAGAACATTCAGCTTCAGAGACACTCAGGACATCAGAACAGCTTCACTCTCATTAGCCAACCTGCTAACCCTCTCAGATTAGCCAACCTGCTAACCCTCTCAGATTAACTAACCCTCTCAGATTAGCTAACCCTCTCAGATTCGCTAACCCTCTCAGATTAACTAACCCTCTCAGATTCACTAACCTGCTAACCCTCTCAGATTAACTAACCCTCTCAGATTAGCTAACCCTCTCAGATTCGCTAACCCTCTCAGATTAACTAACCCTCTCAGATTCACTAACCTGCTAACCCTCTCAGATTAACTAACCCTCTCAGATTAGCTAACCCTCTCAGATTCGCTAACCCTCTCAGATTAACTAACCCTCTCAGATTCACTAACCTGCTAACCCTCTCAGATTAACTAACCCTCTCAGATTCACTAACCTGCTAACCCTCTCAGATTAACTAACCCTCTCAGATTCGCTAACCTGCTAACCCTCTCAGATTAGCTAACCCTCTCAGATTAGCTAACCCTCTCAGATTAACTAACCTGCTAACCCTCTCAGATTAGCTAAACCTCTCAGATTAGCTAACCTGCTAACCCTCTCAGATTAGGTAACCCTCTCAGATTAGCTAACCCTCTCAGATTAGCCAAACTGCTAACCTTCTCAGATTAGTTAACCCTCTCAGATTAGCCAAGATGCTAACCCTCTCAGATTAGCTAACCCTCTCAGATTAACTAACTCTCTCAGATTAGCCAACCTGCTAACCCTCTCAGATTAGCTAACCATCTCAGATTAGCTAAACCTCTCAGATTAGCTAACCCTCTCAGATTAGCTAACCATCTCAGATTAGCTAACCCTCTCAGATTCGCTAACCTGCTAACCCTCTCAGATTAGCTAACCCTCTCAGATTCGCTAACCTGCTAACCCTCTCAGATTAGCTAACCCTCTCAGATTAGCTAACCCTCTCAGATTAGCTA